AAGTGGTTCTTAACCTTCTGGCCCTTTAAATACAGTTCCTCATGTTGTGACCCAACCATAAAATTATTTTCGTTGCTACTTCATAACTGTAATGTTGCTACTGTTAGGAATCGTAATGCAAATATCTGATATGCAGGATGGTCTTAGGCGACCCCTGTGAAAGGGTCGTTCGACCACCAAGGGGGTCACAACCCATAGGTTGAGAACCGATGCCCTAACCACTCCCCTGCCAGCCTGACTGATGCCTAACTGCTCCCCTGCCGGCCCAATCACCCCCAACTTCCCTCCCCTGCAGGCCTGGTCACCCACAATGGCTCTCCCCTGTAGGCCTGGTCCCCCCTAACTCCCCTCCCCTGCCAGCCTGGTTGCCCCCAACTGCCCTCCCCTGCAGGCCTGGTCACCCCCAACTGCCCTCTCCTTCTGGCCTGGTCCCCCCCACCCCAATTTCCCTCCCCTGCAGGCCTGGGTCCCCCGCAACTGTCTTCCCCTGCTGGCCTGATTGCCCACAACTGCTCTCCGCCTGCAGGCCATCTTGTGGCGGCTACCTTGTGTCCACATGGTGTGGCCATCTTGTGTGTTGGAGGGATGGTCAATTTGCACATTACCTCTTTATTAGAGAGGATGCTTCAGTAATTCTATATGCGACAGGGGAAATCGAAATGTAGCATCATGGCAGCAGAAATGGTATGAGAGACCTGTGATGGAATCTTGTTCTGCTTTTATATTGCCATGACCTTAGGCAAGTTAATGAATCCCTCTAGGATTGTTTTCTCATCTGTAAAAAGGTATGGTACTTACCTGGGAGACACATAATGAGGACTAAATGGAAGTAAAATTTATAACAGCTATAGCACAGAGCTTAGCAAATAATGTGTCTCAAGAATGTTATGTTCATTTTCCTCTCTCCTTTTGAAATATAGTTAATCTTATTTGGCATGTAAATATTTTTAGATTTTGTTTTGATTTAATTTTTATTTGGGTATATAAATATTCAGGTTTAAGTAACTATATGGTTTTACTAATTCCTTTTTGAGTGTTTATTTTACATACTGTTAAGTGGCTACATGTTTTAGCTCATTTAAACCCAATAAGAATCACATGTGACCATTACTCCTCTTGTCCTCTTTGTAAAAATGAAGAAACTGAGCCACAGGGATGTTAAGGACCTTATTCAAGGTCACCCAGGTATTAAGGACAGAGCTGATATTCAAACCCTGTGCTACGCTATCTCTCTAATTTAATCCATATATTTTCACTCTCAACTAAATTTTAATAGCTTCAAAACTCAAAAATCTCATCAGTTCATATTTGCATTGTTTAAAATATGATGGTTATTAACAACTAGTGGCCCGGTGCATAAAAATTTGTGTACTCGGGGGGCATCCCTCAGCCCAGCCTGCCCCCTCTAACAGTCTAGGAGCCCTCACAGGATGTCCTACTGATGTCCCTGTGAGGAGTGGGCCTAAGCCACAGTCTGGCCTTCCTCTGTGGAAGGCGACTGGCCAATCAGGTATATAGATACTTTTTGAAGGCAGCACAGACT